CTGCAGTGTTTCATTTGCAGGATTGCACATGCATCGTGTGTAGGGAGTAGTTTACACCCTGGGTGGATCATTTATCCTGTGTGGGAGTAGGTGGAGAAGACTGAAAACACAACAGCAAAGTAACATAAAACAAATGAGATGTGTAAAGAAGGATATAGAATGGTTTCAAATACATAATCACCTTCAGTGAGATGCAAAATGGTCAGAAACAGGAGAAAACTGACTAGCTACAACTGTTAGCAACAGATATTGAGAATTTGTGAGGACATCTCCAAGATGCGAAAACGGTTCTATGTTTAATTGCGTGAATTACCTTGGACTTGCTTTTGTTTTGCTGAGGTTTTAAACTTATCAGAACATTTTGGGGCACAAATGTTCTCTTAAAATAGTCACAGACCTTACGAGCACCTGGAATGTACAATAAAAAAATCATTTGGTGTTCAGAATCAGCCAGTGTTAGTTACCATCTGTCGCAGCGCAGTGGGATCCAAGCTCCTGAGAGAACCCAAAAAATTCATTTTTATAAAGCATGTTTATGAATAGAATAAACACTACAGTAAAATGGTAGAATGGAAACTTGCAGATATTTTAGTCCACCAATAGGACCACAAATCAGAACTCACAAGCTTTCATTGCCACTGCGTGAGAATGAGGCGAGGTTGGGAGGCACTCTGACGGTGTAATTGGCTTACAGATAAGGAAATGCTAAATGTAAATAAAAAAATTAATAATAATGAAATAACAGAAGGTAATTATAAAATAACTACATTTAGGTATAGAATAGAATAGACTTTACTGGTCACACAGTGGGGAAATTCACTTGTTACAGCAGCACCAACACTTAAGAGAATAATTTGAAGATAGATAATAACAAAGGTACATGTATACACACATGTACCTACAACAGTAGTCTAGGATTGTAACCTTCGACGTATGAAATATATACATGGAAAAATATCTTTCATAAATAAATGTAATGTAATGTAACACTGTGCAAGGAGTTGTACATTTCCACAGAAACAAGTAAAATGCACAAAACTATTATAAATGGGATCAACACTGTCTTTTTCTTTGGTCATTTTCCTCCCTTTTTGTCTGTTTTCTGAGCTTTACACGTGAAGGGTTTATAGTTTCAAAATAATCCAGAACTCAACTCTTTCCAAGTCCGATGTGAGCATGTATTTATTTATTTATTTATTGTAGCGCAAACCCCCCCCCCCCCCCCCCCCACCCCCTTGGCAAATACTCAAATAACTGGACTCAACATGAGGAGTAGCCAGGTGTCAGGTTGGTGAAAATCAGTTTTAACACATTTTATCTTAAAAACATGATTGTTTTTGTGCTGAGGCATCCTCAGTCGCTCCTCTTTGTTGTTGTGATTTTATGGGCGTGACGTCCTTTTGCAGAACAGCCAATTGCTGCTCGTTTATGTCCCAAAACAGCCAATAAGAAGCTTCCTGTGGTGTTCTCATGATTTCCCATCTCTGTTGTTTTAATATTCATGGATGCAGCTGGTGAACATATGATCTCTCTCTCTCTCCCTCACACACACACACACACACACACACACACACACACACACACACACACACACACACACACACACACACACACACACACACACACACACATACACACACACACACACACACACACACACACACACACACACACACACACACACACAAAATAACCCACGTTTATTTAGGGTTATTAATGCTTTGTTTATAAATGTAATTCTTTTACTTTGGTTTTTGTATAATTCTGTGGTGCACAGACTGTTTTTTAATATTTTAATTTCGGATTAAAATAAATCTTTGAAAGTGGCCGAATGCCTTTGAGACATATTTGGGACAAGAAGTAACATTTTAAAAATGGTGATATTGAAACAATAAACTCCAGTGCTTTACCAGTTTTTGTCAATTAAATTGATTTCTGATCGTTTAGAAACATATTTTTTCTTTAATAATGTAGCAAACAGGTTTTATCATGAATGTTATATGGTGGCCTAAGGATCAGGGGTCTCATTTATCAAACATTGCGTAGACTCCTTACTAAAACCGTACTTGAGCTCAGCAAAAAAATGTACACCAAGTAGGTTTGTGATATATCAAACATGGAGTACGCACAGGTGCACGCAATGTCCGCTTCATAAATCGGAGACTAACGAGAATGTTTCTCAGCTGCATTTTAGTCACATCCCGCCCTCACCACGCCCACTTATTGCCATAAATAGTCAATGAAAAATGTCTTGTGGATCTCATGCATATACACAAGCCGGCTGTTGCAGCTCTCCGCCAATGACATGGCGACCGTAGATCAAGGCGGATCAAGGAAGCACAATTTCACAGAAGCAGAAATTGAGGTACTTGTGGGTGAGGTGGAGAAATGAAAGGAAGTACTTTTGCAAAACTAATAAGAGAAAATCCACGGAGTGGCACAGCGTTGCTGAAGCCATCAATGTTGTGAATTCTTCAGAGAGATCTGTGGCGGATATAAAAAAAAAAGGTCCAATTGGGATTTGATCCCCAGACTCCCAGGTGAAAGTCACTCACGCTAACCAGTCAGCCAAACAGAGATCTCCGTTGTCCAGGTAGCCAGGGCGCATGATCAATCGAGTCACAGTGACAGGACACACACTGTCACAGAAGCATGACATTCTGTCTCAATCTGTCCCCCTGCTGATATTCTGTGCTGCAGGCTGTGTGTGTGTGTGTGTGTGTGTGTGTACGCGTGTGTGTGTCCACGTGTGTGTGTGTGTGTGTGTGTGTGTGTGTGTGTGTGTGTGTGTGAGAGAGAGAGTGTGCGTGCATGTGTGTGTACGCGCGTGTGTGTGTGTGGGGGGGTCTTGTTCTGTGTGAAAACGAAGCAGTACAAGTGATAATGCTGCAGGATTTCATAATTTTATCCTTCTCAGCAGCAGCACTGCAGGTGCTCTCCATGTCCAAAATGTGCATAAGCCAGGTCCTTAGTCAACTTAATGTTGTGCACATTTTTCCACGAAGTTTTCTTTCATAAATCCCAAAGTTTGCGTGGAAAGTTGCTTATACATTTTCCGACCCCGTTTTGTGCGTAAGCAACCTTGATAAATGAGAGCCTGAGTCTCTGCTTTTTGCAGATGATGTGGTCTTGTTGGCTTCATCGGACAGTGATCTCCAGCTTTTGCTGGAGCAGTTCGCAGCCGAGAGTGTGAAGCAGCTGGGATGAGAATCAGCTCCTCCAAATCTGAAACCATGATCTTAATCAGACATGGGTAGAATGCCTTCTCCAGGTCAGGGACGAGATCCTGCCTCAAGTGGAGGAGTTTAAGTATCTCTGGGTCTTGTTCACGAGTGAGGGAAAGATGGAGCATGAGATTGATAGGCAAACTGGTGCTGCTGCATCTGCATTGATGCTGGTGTTGTATCGATCTGTCGTGGTGAAGAGAGAGCTGAGCCGGAAGGCAAAGCTCTCGATCTACATTCCAACCCTCACCTATGGTCACAAGCGTTGTGAAGTGACCGAAAGACTGAGATCATGGATACAAGCGGCCGAAATGAGTTTTCTCCACAGGGTGTCTGGGCTCTCTCTTAGAGATAGGGTGAGAAGCTTGGTCATCCGGGAGGGGTTTGGAGTAGACCCGCTGCTCCTCCACGTTGAGAGGAGCCAGTTGAGGTGGCTTGGGCAGCTGGCCAGGATGCTTCCTGGATGCCTCCCTGGTGAGGTTTTCCGGGCATGTCTAACTGGGAGGAGGCCTAAAAGAATACCCAGGGCACGCTGGAGGGACTATGTCTCTCGGCTTGCCAGGAAACGCCTTGGGATTCCTTCGGAAGAGCTGCCCCAAGTAACTGGGGTGAGGGAAGTCTGGGCGTCCCGGCTTAGGCTGCTGCCCCCTCGACCAGACTCTGAATAAGTAGCTGAAAAGGGATGGATGGATGGATGTTGCATTGTAGTAAATGGTTGACAAGAAGACATCCATGAGCCTTTCTGAGTTATTTTTAAAACTTTGAGAATATTTGGCGTTTTCCAGGATTATTATTCTTCTTATTCAAAGCTTATTTTTTTTAGCTGCAATCAAGTTTAAATAACAATTCCAGAGCAAACAGTGGGGCAAAAAGTATTTAGTCAGCCACCGATTGTGCAAGTTCTCCCACTTAAAATCATGACAGAGGTCAGTAATTTACATCATAGGTACACTTCAACTGTGAGAGACAGAATGTGAAAAAATCCATGAATTCACATGGCAGGATTTTTAAAGAATTTATTTGTAAACATGTTGTACCACATAATTTTTAATCTGAAGCTACATATTAAGCATATTCAGGGCAGAGTATTGTTCCTGTAGTGTGAGATGATAGTAAATATTCCCTTTCTTTCTCCAACAACTTTACCTGATAGTAAGCTAACTTTAGGCAAACCAGCAGCACAACAAATATTTTCAAATAAGACCCACAAACCCGAGTCAACACCAGTCTCATCAAAGCTGGGATTCTGTCGCCGTACTTTTTGTCTAAAAAACGTCCTTATGTCCATCTTCACTCATGCGTTTCAGCCACAGACTGCAGAGGAAGCCGGCTGCTGAAGGGCTTCTTCTTCAGTGGTGGAGGCTCAGGCAGGCTGTATACAAACTACTGCCAGCTGCTCCCTCTCTGTTGGACTTTGGTACTGCATGTTACTTCCACGTTTTAGATCCGGGGCTTTTCATAAAACATCCGGGGCTTGAGCCCAAGTAGCCGGGCCTAACCCCGCCCCTGGGTTGAGCTACCTTCTGGGCTGTAACACTTTTAACGTGAGGTCGAGGCTGAGGCCTTCCCTGGAGCAAGTATGAGGGTAAACCGCTAGCACTAGCGCTGGTGGCTCTTCTGCTACCTGTCAATTAAATGGACACTACACTTATTACTCACCATTTCTAGCTTTAATTACATCTAAACGGGTAAGTTTAAAAATAAATCACCCCCACAGAGTTGGCATGACATTAAGCTCGACCTACTAAACCTAAAAGGTTGCATGGGAGTCAACGGGAACTTGCTCCTTTCTGGAGCCAGCCCCTAGTGGATAAGGAAAGAACTGCAGTTTTTGTCATTTCCTCATTGGCTTCAGTTTTGGCAGGCAGAGATTGCCCCTTGGAATAAACATAGCCCAACCAGCTTCAGTACAAGAGTTGATTAATCTGTAAAGTTAAAATCTCAGGTGCATTATAATCATTTTGTTAGGAATCAACTGTACTTTCCATTTAACTGATTTAATGTATTTTTTTTTTACAAATGTGTGTAACATAAAACATAAAATCTCAGTATTTTCCAAAGACAATCTTGCGTTCAAAAACTACAACCCATTAACAAAAATGATCCAATTGTCAACATGACTGGTTTAATCGGTGATCAGCTAATCTGAAAAATTAAAACACTAATTAATCTTTTACTTTATTTTGGTCTGTGTACCAAACTACTGTGAAACTTCTGACATGTTTCTCAGTCTGTGAACTCAACATTGCTCAACTCTTGTAGCAATGATGCAAAAGATTGTACTTCCATTCAGGAGTTTTGAAAAAAGTCTTCTAATAAATATTCCATTGCGATCCACTAATATTTACGATCATTACATCTGATCAGTCATCAGTATGGCTACAACTTTGTCTCATAATTAAATTGTTATAATAACTAACACCATCAATATAAACAACAACCCAGCAATAATTTTATATGATTTGTCCAGAACCCTTTGTTTCTGTGCTGATTTATATTTATATTTTTTCTGCTTATCTCTTTGGCCTAGCTGATCAGTGGGTAGAAAATGTAATAGCTAATTGAGCTAAATCTGTGGTTTGGACAAAACCAGTAGGACACAGTGGGATGAGGCTGAGCAGTACGTTTCCTAACAGGAGCATCACGGCTGCACATGCAGAGCGTGCTGAGACACACCGGACCCCCACCGTGTGCTTGTCCTGTATCCACCCCGTGTGAGGTCTCATCCTTCTATTCTTCCATCTTTATCTCCCAGCTAAAGCCAGCTGGAGCAAAGCAGAGATATTCATCCATTCCTCCTCCCTGTTTTTTTATTCCTGCTGTCCCAGCTGCTCTCTCTACCTCTCTCTGCCCCCTCCTTCCTCCTCCTCTTTTCCCCTCCTCCTCCTTTTATCTCAACCTCCTTTCCACTGTCATATCCCTGCCGTTCACGTGTCCCGGCGAGACATTGTTAACTGAGCCTGAGCATTAGTGCCTTCACAGAGGATGGCTCGGGTGGTCAGGTGCAGGTCGAAGACCCGGGGAACCAGTCGAACAAGCAGCAGGACCAGTTTGTTTACCCAGGCAGCAGAGAGCTTCATTGGGGTAGGGGCTGGAGCTTGAGCCCCCTCTTGGATCTACAACCCTGGATGTCTGTTAGTGCACCTGTAAATATTTTATACACGATTCTGTTACAAGAGGACTACTTCACTTTTATTTTGGAGCTGCTTTCTCAGTGTGGGATTTTGAGGAGGTGAAGCAGGAGTATGTTGTGTCTCTGTGTCCTCGTTCTGTCCCAGACTGGATCATAGCATCAGCTCAGCGCGGACAGCTGCAGATGAAGACAAGGAACATAACAAGGAGGGAAACCTATTTAAAAAACAAAGAAGAAAGGAGACAGTTTCTCTCCCTCTCACACACTTGTGACAGATCCTGCTCAGACAAAAGCTAAAGAAGACACTTTGGATCTGCACTCCGTCCCTCCTTTCTGACTTCCACCTGTGTGGATTAATTGTTCTGGAGAAGCATGGCGCATGCCGCCTCGCAGCTGAAGAAAAAGGCGGATGAGAATCTCGCTGCAGAGGATGAGAAAGAGAAGGAGAAGGAGAGAAAGAGGGCGAGGAAGCGATCGCGGGAAGTGAAGAAAAAGGTAGAGAAATGAGGAGTTTGGAAAGGGGAAAAGAGAGAAAGTGACTGAAATACGAAGTAAAGAGATGTTTTGGTCTAGTGAGAGCTTCTCTTTTGTCGTGATGCAGCCTCATCTTTTACTCATCTTACATGCACAAGAGGGGGGGTGGGGGTGGGGGGTGTCCCAATGGGAATACTGGGGTGGGGGTGCGCGAAGGGTGGGTAAAAAAGACAGAAAGATGGATGAGCGGGGAGCATGCTCATGGAGATAAAGAAGGAAAAATCAGGAATGAGCCACAGAGAACAGACTGGCGTTTTCAGCAGCAGTTATAAAACACCATCTGATGCGAAAAACCTTCTAGAAACACATTAATAAATTAGAAAAGGAGGAATGATGCTGCTAATTAAGGCTTCATTCATCCCAGGTTGTCTCAGACTTTTCCTTATTTCTTCTTTTGAGTCGTGTTCCTGTGTGATGCAGTTGTGCATGATGTAGTGGGAAAGCTGAGCGTCAGCGCTCACGCCTTGCGGTTAGGTGTTGGCCACTCATGCCCAGACGGACGTCTGTGTGCAAGGATGGAGTTTAGACTTGATCTTTGATGCTCAATTGTCTACATGGCCATCAGTACATCTGACGTGAAGTCAGTAAAACCATAGCTGCAACGTTTGGCAGAGCTCAGGTTTAAATTAGTGACGGTTTCTTTTTGAATAACTTGACTTTTGTTTGTGTGAGTGAGTGGCTATTTACACAGCGTGTGTGTGTGTGTGTGTGTTTGCATGCTGAGATTTGGACCCATTTGTGCTGGGTGGCCGGCCCAAGACCATCATTTGTCTGTAGCCACCTGTTCTGATGAGCTGACCTCAGTAGCATCAAGGTTAAACCGGAGAGAGGGGAGGTTTATGTTTATGTTTATTTATTTAGCAGACGCTTTTATCCAAAGCGACTTACAATTTATAACCTATAGGACATGTTGTGATCTTTGGGGGGATAAACCGGAGTACCCGGAGGAAATCCACGCATGCATGGGGAGAACACGCAACTCCACGCAGAAAGGCCGCAGCCGAGCTGAGTTTCGAACCTGCAACCTTCGTGCTGCGAGGCAACAGTGCTAACCACTGCGCCACCATGCAGTATGTCTATGTTTTGTCAGCATAGGGAGTCAAAGTCGTGATGCAGCAGTGTTTTTATTTTCATCATTATTTGAGAAGATATTTTAACAATTATAAATATTAAGGATTGTTTAGGAAATGAGTAGCAGAGTCATCAGGGTCACATCACACCTAAATATTCTTCACTTCCTCGATCTCTGGAGCTCAGTGTGACAGGATGTAGTTCAGGTCCAGGTATTTAGGCCTGTCAGGACCTTCCGTTTGTGATGATGAAAGCACATAAACTTAAACACGTTTGATCACAGTTTGGTGTTTTCACATTCAGGACAACAGGTGAGGCATGTGTTGTTTAGCAAAAAGCTGCTGTAGGTGAGTGACATCAGCAGTTTCCCGGTTTTTGTAGCGTAACATTGTAGCTCAGGTTTCAGCTATCCTTGGTTCAGTCAAGGTAAATCTATATCACTGTCTGCTCTGGGCCACTTCTTGGCACCGAGGTGCAAAAAATATCCTCTTCCTGCTCAGATCATTCCTCCTCAATTATGTTGTCTTTTCTTTACCTCACCTCGCCTTCACTCCCACACCTTCACTCGTGGTTTTTTTCTGCCCAGCTCAATGTCAATTAAATAGACACAAGCTACAAATGTTCCTGCTTTGTTTCCAAAAGAGCTGAAATCACTTGAGATTTGTTTCTGCAAGAGTAATTTCTCTCACATAGGCACACAAATATACCAAGCATTTTGGGGAAGGGTTTAGGTGTTGGGGTGTTTTATTTTTTTCAAGGAAAGTTGTTTTATTACTCGATGAGTTTATTCCAGTTATTTATTTAATTAGGATGTTTATGTCAGTATAAGAGGTTTTAAAAGTGGATTTTAATGTGTAAGTATTTTAAAAAGAAAAACTCAGAATGTTACTTATTTAGTGTTTTCTGTTCACTAGACAGAGGAACTGTTTCATATTTTTTCTAACATGACCCATTACAAGGTTACTTAAATGTCACTCAGGACCAAGCCCTATACACAGAATATTGCATTTGTAACTTTAGCCTAGCGGGCTGCCCTGTTGGGACTTAAAAATGCAGCTGACATACCTGACGCTGCAGTCTGGTTCCAGCATGTTTCCTGCATGTGTTAGATCACAAACACAGATGATTTGTTTAATTTTGTGATGACTCACTCCTTTAGAAACTAATGAACGCAGTGGAAAATGTTCAGCTATCAGATTAAGGTATTTAAAAAGACAAATGCACAGTGAGGAGATAGGGCTTGCTTTCGATTTGACCACAGGCAATTAATAACGGACACTAGGGTCCTAAAAGCAAGCAAAACTGCTAAGTGTGCCTTGAACACATATCTGCCAATGAAATGTTAGAGAGATGTATGAAAAGTCATTTTATTCTATTAGTTTTTCATTCAGTTAGCTATTTACCTGGCTAGGGCTAATTAGCAAAATTGTTAAACATTTAAAGACAAGTACGCTGTTAGGCAGCATTCAGAAATGCTGGATTCATGTTTATGTTTATGTATTTAGCAGACACTTTTGTCCAAAGCGACTTACAAGTGATAATCGGCATGTTGCCCTTGAGGCTAACAACAACAATAACAACAACTTGACTTCAATAATGGAGAGGAGGGAACAACGGAGTGGGCGGTAGAGGAGGGGGGGACGGGTGCAGGGAGGGTGCTAGTTTAGAAGATGCTCTCTGAAGAGCAGAGTCTTCAGGAGTTTCTTGAAAATTGAAAAGGAAGCCCCTGTTCTGGTAGTGCTTGGAAGGTCATTCCACATTTGTGGAACGATGCATGAGAAAAGTCTGGATTGTCCTGAGCGTGGTGTAGGCGCTGCTAGCCCACGATCCTGTGATGACCGGAGCGGCCGGGCCAAGATGTAAGCCTTTGCAAGAGGATTCAGGTAGATGGGAGCCGTACCATCTCAGACTTTGTATGCTAGTGTTAGCAATTTGAATTTGATGCATGCATCTAGCGGTAGCCAGTGGAGCTCAATGAACAGAGGGGTGACGTGTGCTCTTTTTGGCTGATTGAAGACCAGATGCCGCCGCTGTGTTCTGGACCATTTGAAGAGGTCTCACAGTACAGCCTGGAAGACCAGTTAGAAGGGCATTGCAGTAATCGAGGCGGGAGATGACAGTAGATTGCACCAGGAGCTGGGTGGCATGTTGTGTTTGGTATGGTCTGATCTTTCGCATGTTATACAGTGCAAAGCGGCATGAACGGGCAACAGAGGCAACATGATCTTTAAAGGCCAGGTGTTCATCAATCACAACACCCAGATTTCGAACTGCCTTTGAAGGAGCCAGAGATAGGAAGTCATTTTGGATTGAGATATTGTGCTGTATGGATGGTTTTGCTGGGATGACAAGCAGTTCAGTTTTAGAGAGGTTGAGTTGGAGATGGTGGGATTTCATCCATTTTGAGATGTCAGAGAGACAGTTAGATATTCGTGCTGATGACATCTATGCCAACAAGATTCCTACCAGGGGGCATCCTTTGTATTTGGTTGTCATTTGCAAGTTTTACATTATGACCAATAAATAGTCATTTTTTTGTTTGGATTTAAGTGAAATTTTCAGCCATCTTGCTAAAAAGGTTACTGTCTTTCCTGTTTTCTGTATGAATACATTTACAGTGACTCTAAAAAAAGTTGTTTTCTGTTGTTTACGTCAGAAAGTGTCATTTTATTTTCAGATATGAGATCATCCCTTTTAAAAGTAACCCTAAACAGTTTCCTATTCCTCTACCCTACTGGTTGAAATTGGAATTACAACAGTCATAGACAACCCAGCAGCAGCCTGCTGTAGCTACCGCTAACAATGAGCTAACGCTAACGATGAGCTAACGCTACCATGAGCCAACTAATACAGAACATAAAACACTAAGTAAAAAGATCTGCATTGTTGGACAAAAATATTATTACTTATAATTTCAGTACCAACAAAGCCAGGTCAGTTTCACTTCAGCAGTATGTGAGCCTTTAACTTGGATAAAAAGGATTAATCCTCTTCACCAATGCTGTGAACAGGATTTTTAGTTGTTAGAGGAAACAGGAAAACATGAGCAGTTGCCATTAAAGCTAATAGCTTTGTGCTCCAAACAGATAGAGTTAAATTGAACTTGAAGCCTTCCGACGCTTTTAGGCTGTGCATCATCTCCAGCAGCTCTGACAGGAAGGCACTCTTTTTGGATTGGCTGCCTGCTTCATAGAGCTTCTAGCTTACTTTGGGCAGGCTGATTGATTTTATTTAGAGGCTAATTAGATGTTGTTGTGTAAGTGACTTTATGTATGGATTGTAATCAGAGTTTGATTTCCTGACCAGGGTTGAAATTTCATAATAGGATTAAAAAACACAAGAGAGCATTCTTGGGTTGTTTATTTATTTGGCTCAACAAAATGATCCCCATTTTATGAGACTATGCTCATAGTTCAAATGTATTCAGGTATTGGACATATTTTTACATTTTTGAAATTTCTATTTAGTTTTTAATGTTTTTAGGGGGTCCTGAATCTTAGATCAATTATTAAATTAGAACAAACAGGAGGTCATTTTGCCCAAATCTGCAGTAAAATATAAACATTTAGAATAAGTTTTATCTAAAAACCTGAAAACGTACAAACTATGTTTGATTTGTCTCAATTGACTTTAATTCTGTTGACAAATGAGGCCATCTTGTTGTGCCACTGTATTCTTCTTACACCATTTCTGCAATTTTTTATTTTTTTTTTTTAGAAAACCTACAATTTGAATTTGTGCAGCACACACCTGCCATGGCCCAAAATCTGCTGAAACACCATTAACTCTGTTGCTGTCTCCGAATGAGAGGCTCCCCCTCCGAGGGTTGACTGAAATGTCATTTACTCCAGAGTGAGATGAGAGATGTACACCATGGTGGGAGGGAGATG